GTACACGAGACTCATATTTGTTTGGTCGCTTCTCATTAGTGCTCTATTACTGCATGCTCGGATACAACTAAGTACAAGAACAAGCGCTCCTCAGGGAGTGGTGTCATTAAAATAGATGGGGAAGCGAGGTATGCTGTCAAATTAGTAAACGCATCCTCGCACTCCTGACTCCATAATACTCCCTTCTTTCCTTTGATCGATTAGAAGAAAGGTTTGCATTTATCCGAAGCTCAGGATATAAATCTTCCCGGTGCGGTGGCCATTTCTATTAGCCTTAGTACTTCTTTTATTGTTCGGGGTGATTGTAGTTCTGTAATCGCCTTTACTGGATCGAGATTCACCTAGACTCCTCGGTGGGTAACCAAAAACCCAAGGAACTTTCCAGAGCCTACCCCGAATGCACATTTTGAGGCGTTGAGCTTCATTTTGTATTTCTGAAGTATGTCAAAGGTGTTTCTCAAGTCAGAGTAATGACTGGAGGCCCTTCAACTTTTTACTACCATGTCATCTATGTAGACTTCTATAGTGTCACTCGATATGTGGGAATACATCTTCGTCACCAACCTCTAATAGGTCGCTCTTGCATTCTTCAGTTCGAAAGATACTACCATATAACAATATGTCCCTTTAGGTGTTATAAAGACAGCCTTTTCCTAATCCTGCTCGGCAAGAGGGATCTGATGATAACCCTTGTATGCGTCTAAGAAGCTCATCCGCTCGTGATCGGTGGTTGCATAGACCAACTGATCTATCTTTGGTAATGGAAAACTGTCTTTTGAACAAGTTTTGTTGAGGTTAATGAAGTCGACACAAACCCTCCACTTCCCCTTCTTCTTCTTCTTCTTGAACCTACCTGATGGTCTAATATCCCAACAACCGTGCTACCTCTTCCTTTACCGCTTCCTGGTGCTGTGCTGTCGAACTTCTAAGCTTTTGTTTCACTGGCGTAAAGCTAGAGTCTACATTTAATTGGTGACACGCCACCTCGGGCGGGTCGCTGAACATTTCATATGTTATCCATGCGAAGACGTCAGCGTATTCTGTCAACAGTGAGACCAGTTCATCACGCTGCTCGGAGCTTAGAGAGGTGCCCAAAAGAAAATACTTGTCATCATCCTTGCCTAAAGATACTTTAGATAAGTCTTCTATAGTTTGGTTAGTCGAATCCTCTTTGCCTAAGGGTTCTTTAGACAAGTTCTCAGTAGTTCGGTCAAGTGAGACCTTTCTATCTAAAAGTATCCTAGCCAAACTTTCTTTAGTTTGGTCAGTCAGCTCCCGTTCCATGCCTAAAGCTACTTTAAGCTCAACCTCGATAGTTCGGTCAGTCATGTCGGTTGACCTATCGAGGTTTAGTTGCTATTTCATCATTTCTATTGCCAAGCTCCTCTCTCGCCTGTCCCCACCATCTCTTCCTTTGGCCGAGGCCAGTAAGTAAGTTCTGAAACTTACTTGGTCTCCTCGAATGTTCACTATTCCCTCTGCCGAGGAAAATCTGAGCATCTGGTGGTATGTTGATGGTACTGCCTTCATTTCGTGTAATTAGGTTCAATACATAATAGCAATGTATGTCGAGGTTGTGTCTATTACTAGAAATTCGGTCATGACCCCAATAGGGCCAGTCTTCACCAGAAATGTGATTCTTCCCTTTGGGAGAACCATTTTTTCACTGAAACCGACTAGCGGGGTATTAGCTGGCTTGAGATCTTCTTGTTTTAGCCTGAGCTTTTGGAAGAGGTCTATGTACATGATCTCACAGGAGCTTCCTGGATCAATCAGTACTCTTTTCACATCATAGTTCGCAATTCGGAGGGTAACCACCAGAGCTTCATTGTGTGGCTGGTGTATTCCGATCAAATCATGTTTGGAGAAACAGATAGTCTCGGCTGCGTCTTCCTACTTTATCCTTTTGCTCCTAACTTCGGGGGACAATCGCTGCTAATAAACTTCTCTCTCCTTAGTTGCTCTTTGGATGAACGCCCTAGCAGCATTATTTGTTACCATTTGGAGATTTGTTGCAGCATAGATCACGTCGATCACACTTTCTGCGGTGGTTTGGTCGGCTTGAGGTTAGGCTCTTCTGCCATTAGCTCGATCACCCCCATTTTCTATGAACTGAGTAAGATGCCCTACCTGGACCAACTCTTCTAAGTGCTGCTTCAATGACTGACAATTCTTAGTTATATGTCCCACATCCCGATGATAGGAACATTTGAAATTAGGGTTCTTCTTCAAAGGGTCTCCTATGAGCTTGTTAGGCCACTTGAAATACGGCTTCCTCTTAATCTGAGTTAATATTTTATATTTTGACTCTTTGAACATTGTGTTTACCCCCACAAAAGGGGATTTCAAGGAGAACCCCTCCTTGTCCTCCCAGTATTTTTGTTCAGCTCAACTTGTTTATCTCGGCTGAATTGCTTTCTACCTGTTTGTTCCTTCCCCACGTCTCTGGGCAGGTCATCGTTGACTTTGGCATACTTCTCAATTCTCGCCATAACTCCTTCATGTCTACGGCAGGTCTTCTAGTAAGGGATTGATACAAGGGGTTCTCTTTTGGCAATCCTATATTGAAGGAAGCCACGACAATCCCTGAGTTACAAGTTTTAATTTCATTCATCGTTTCCCAGTAACAGTAAGCATATTCTCTCAAAGTTTCGGTTCTTTTTTTCTTCATTGTTTGTAGTGCCCCAACATCTTTGGGTTGTTTGCTACTTGTGATGAACCGAGCTGTGCCCATTCATCTATCGAGCCCCCTGGTAGACTGTTGAACCACTTCATGACTGACTCCTGAGGTTGTTTGGGAAAATGGTACAGAGCAATGGTTCATTTTTTTGATGAATGGTCATAAGTTGTCGGTAATGTCATATGTGGGAGGTCGGATTTGTCTTTCCGTCATATAATTTAAAGCTCGGGATTGTAAATTTACTCAAGATCCGTTCTCTCTCAATCCAGCTAGTGAAGGAGGAGGACTTCGTACCTTCTTCGTATTCTCCCGTGGCTCTTCGGGATAGGTCCCTAGTTGATTTTTTGCTCGGTCTTCTTAGTCGGTTATTGTGCTCTTTAGTTATGAATTGCTTCCAGGAGTCCTTATCCTGCCCCGATGTCTTTTCTATTTATATTCCTCTTCCTTAGCATTTTCTCTTTTACTTCGCTTCTTTTCGGGACTCTTCTGTCGGTTTTCCTTGCTACGCCTCTCCCTCTTGGTCATTTCCTTTAATCTAGCTTTCAATTCTTCATTTTCTTCCATTAGATCCCTTTTTCTGGCATAGGATTTCTTGAACAATTTGTCATGCGCGTCGAGTCGGTCTTGCAAGGACTAAACCAGTTTTGCCAGAGCAGGGTTTTCCCCTTCGGTACGGAGGGATTTGCCCCGGTTGGCATCCTGTTGACTCTGGTGCTTATATAGCTTGAAACTTACAGAGGATAACTCGTCATCCTCACGTGGCTTGTCTGGGCTTTTGCCTATATCCATTCTAATGTTGCTATCGGATAGAAGTGATACTTTGTAGTTTGAATCGGAATCTTTCAAGGTCAAACTGCCTACAGGTGAGTCGATGACACTTTTTATAGAGCTTTGCTTAGTTAGGGTTTCCATGATATTTGATTTAAGGTGGTACACTTTTCTTCAATTAGGTGATTTTGTTCAGGAAGTTGCTGAGATCTCTTCAGCAATTCCTTCTGCCAAGCCTATGATCATGCCAATTCGTTCAACCAGAGTGCCTGAGTTATAGGCATCTTTTTAGCACCATATTTACTGTTTTAACAGCTCGGTCGTGACGAGGACCGAGCTTTTCCCTTTCTTCTCGAGCTCTTTGAACAGCTCGGTTGCTAGTTGATGATTGACTTGTGATGTCTTTCTCACGTGATTGGTCTTGTCACCCTCATGTGAGATCATTAAATGTTATTACTCGTGGCGTAAAGGGAGTACCCCCTTCAGTTGCTATTGTTTATGTTGCAAATCAACATGGTTGATTGTTCTACAATTATAAGTAGAAGCTTACATCGCTTTGTAGTTCAATTTTTCTTTTTTCATTTTGATTTTTTTGGGATATTAACCATTTTTTTGTTGAATTGCAGAGAATAACATTGAAGATGAAATAGATCAGCTTAGAGCTTCAGTTGATTTTCTTGTGGAGCTTTGTGACACTACTTGTCCGGAGAAAGTGTGTTACTGTTTGTCTTCATCTGTTTTTCCTTCCATTAATTCGCTCCTAACTTAAGTTTTCAGTGTGCGTTATCTTCTTGCAGTAAATATACTTCCATTTTCTCTGTTCATTCTATCTTGCAGGTGGAGTCTAATTTTGCAAACTTGTCACATCAAGCTGTAGACTTCATCCTAGGTAGTGACCAGCACCTTACATTATTCCATCTTGACTTTCCTCTGGATTTCTTCTGTTCACCTGATTTTAAGATCAGTCTCATTGGTGTATAGTTAATTGAGGAAATGCATATTTTAGGAAGGTGTCCAGCAGTAATCTGGGGAAGTTGAATGGTACTGTTAAGATTGGTTTCAAATTTGAAGAATTTTTTTATTCGTAATTTTATAGATCATTGTCCGGAATGCTGTTAAGAAACATGTTTCTTGTAGTTGGCATCACCAAAAAAAAGAGGTAAAATTAAAAATGTTTGCTGTATCTTAATTTAATCTAGAGCTCCCACATCTATCTTCTTTTGATCTATTAGATGTGGTTTCACCTAGTTATTGTTATATTGAGTTGTAATTTAACGTCAAAGTGTAATGATGTGAAGTAGAGATTTCCCTGCCCTATGTATCCCTTTTTCCCAAGAGATATTCATTCCCTTTTTATGAAAATGAGTTTATAAAGTTCTCATCATCTATGTTTTTGTTAATTAAGATTCTTTTTTTTGCTGTTATGGGGGCTGCAACATGGATCTTCACAGTGCTATTAAATTTGTATTCTCTTATCTTTTTGTTGTTTGTTTTTATTGCTGCATTTTTATTTATTTGCATTCTTGAAGCTGCGTTGAAGGATCTGTTATCAATGAGAAAGGGCACAGAACCTGTTGAAGGCATTGTTAGCAACTTAATTGCGCTTCTGGTGAAAAGAATGTGTAGTGACTTACAAGGACCTGGTAAACATGTGAATTTTTTGTTTTACATACTAATTAATTTTTTGTACCTGGTCATAGTGGTTAGTTTAAAGATGCATTTTACCTCATTATTCTGGTTGTGCATTTTCTCTATTTTTTGGTTTGTAAACTATGAAAGTGTTCGGATTTTCATTGTGAGAAATTTGCTGGGAGAACAATTAAGACACTAAATCACTGGTTTGCTATTTTAGTCACCTTCATCTGTGAGTTTTTAGTTTTTGCTTGTGTGTCATGCAGGCAAGAATATAGTTTGGTATTTTTCTATTTGCAATCAAGAATTTCTTGTAAATCCCTTTATACATCTCTTCCTAGATTTAGAGACAACATTTGTTGAAGGAATTTTTTGTTTCGATGTATGCAACTATTTAATTCTGTAATCCATGCATACTATTTCTAGCATTTCTTCTATTCATTAGAATGTGAGCCTTATGGCCATAAATAGTTACTAATGTTTCCATTTTTCCTCAGTTCAACCATGTTGCTGTTAATTGTATTGTTTGGTTCCCTTTAATCAATCTGAGTGTTTTCATTTTCAATGCACTGTTTCAGAATCAAATCTCTTTGACACTGATGCTCAGTTCTATGTCCAGCATTTGATTCGTAAGCTTGGAAGTGACTCCTATATTGGTCAGCGTGTTATCCTTTCGGTTTCTCAAAGAATTTCTGTACTGGCAGAAAGTTTGCTTGCCATGGATCCATTCGATGAAGCTTTTCCGAATATACATAGCTGTATGTACGTGATGTAAGTGTTGTACAGTTGTAACTGTTTATGGAGTGAGTGCATTAATTATGATCTGTTGATTTCTTGAAATTTCACTTTTTTGGAGCCTGGGTTTTCTTTAATTTGACTTGGCTGTACATCTGAAATCTGAGACGCATGGTATCTATTCCTCATTCAGTCAAATGGAGTATTCTCCACTGATTGTGTTCAGAAATCACTTTGTTCATGAAAATCACTTCATTTCAAGCATCTTTATTTCCCCATCCAGGCAGTCTGTGTTTTAGAACTCTATCCTTTAAACTGCCCTTGATCATTCCAAACATCTTTTTTTTTTCCTTATTGGGGGTGTGTTTGCATGTGTGTGGGCTTCAGTCCCTATGTATTCTTATTTTTCCATGTCTTTCTTATACATTATTGTTTCACATCATATTCATGATACTTGATTGCATTGAATCAAACTCCTATGATTATTAGCTCAAGGTACATATGAAACTCAATGGAAGTGATAATCGCGTTCAGTTAGGTCATCACAAGAACTACACGATTGTGATGCGGAAATTGATCAAATGCCTTTTGAAGACATGGTGTAGATTATTACTTGTTTTGCTATCTCCATCTATTGATATTCAACTTCACAGTCTGAAACAGTTTTCCTTTTGGTCAGTGGACACTTGGAATTTCATTTTATTTTTAGTAATGTTCTTGCCCATTGCCTTGTGAGTTGGTATGGTTTGTTATAGACAAACTTGCTGATGTATTTGCTGTACTCACCTGTGAACTTCCTTAAGCAGTATTTTCCTTATGGTATGTCAAAAAGGTTGAAATAACAAAATTTAGGCAATACCCTTCGTTTGCTATATTCAGGTATATCTTTTTCTCATTTGGTATTTGCATGGCAGGATTCAGCTTATCGAGTTTTTGGTATCAGACTACTATCGGACATGGTCAAGAGACGAATGTTTCGACACAAGTATGCATGCATGCTAGTCTTGTAAATGATTTATTTTTCCTGAATATCAACAATTTTCCCCATTGACCTTATCATGCCCAAAGCAATTAATCTGGGGAGGCACCATGACTGGTCTAAAACCAAAATAAAATGGAAGGATCCAGGGAGAAGTAAAAGGTAGCACTCTTGTACCGGTTTTGGACAGGTTGATTTTTGGATTTTAACTCCACCACCTATTGCTCGGGTGGATGAGACTTATTTATTGAATCATAATGGTTTATACTTCCTTGGCATTATGTAACTGAGGGAGAATTATCCTGTAGTTTGAAACTGCATTTAAAACCCGGTTTTCAAGTTTATGCAAATAACCGGGTATATGGTTCACCTGTAGGGCTGTTTGAAGAGTGGGTGACATCGGTTCTTCATGCACGGAAAGCATTGGAACATTTAGAGAGCAGGAATGGGCTTTATATTCTATATATTGATCGAGTGATTGGGGAAGTTGCTAAGCTTGGGGGCCAGGCCCCTTCATTGCAGAAGCTCAAGTCGGACATATTTGATAAGCTGTTCTGCGGATAGACATGCCTGTAACTTTTTCCTCTCTAATATTCAAGCTACTCTGTTAGAAATTTTAAAAGTTTATACAGTAACCAAATCAGAAGAATAGGTTGAATGAATCTGATTAACCCAGATATAATGGGATGTATCACCACTCTCTCTCTCTCCCCCCTCCCCACGCACCCACAACACACAACTTGAGTCGGTCAAAGTGGTGTGTATTTTGTTGTGATTTACCTGGATTTTTCCTCAGTCAAAGTGGGGGCAAAAACACGAGAAATGGTGACCTCACATAAGGATTTTTTCCCTACTTGGGTGGCTTGACTTTGTTCATTGTTTGGTGGTATGCGGTCCTAATGTTATGGTTTTGCCTTTCAGGCAGCCACTCTTTTCTAACCAGATCGGGATACTTGCATATAAAGAATTCCAAATTGCTCTTGCTTGTGATACCTCTCTTTTTGCTGACAGACTACCATAACAAGGTAATCTTTCCAGTGTGCGCTTTATAAGGCTATTATACTTGAGATGGTTATTATTATTTTTATTTTTTTCTGGTAACAGGGAATTAATCACACAATCTTTAGACTTGCTATAACAATTCAAATCTGTTGTCAATTATCAAATGCACATAATTATCCATAAATTACATATATGGGTTAAATTTAAAATTTATGTACCACACAGTATTTAAATTCAGGATTTACGAATTTGTATCCTGCCTCTCAGCCGGGGTCTATGATTATTGAATTTGTGGTCTGGTCAAATAAGAAAGCTAATAGTGGTCAACACACTCAAGCTTTCGGCTTAATCCTCATCTCTTTGTCCCATCCCATTCCACTCACCACTATTTAATAGCAATAATCTCGACTTTAGCAACATAAAACGTCCACTCAATATTGGATAGGTTTTCTCCTGCAGATCATCTTTGCTCATCAAACATGACTCAAATGAAAACTTTACTCTCTTTATCCCTCATAGTCATCTTACTGGCTCAATCTTGTCCAAGCTCAGCTCATGAAGGTGTTTCAACATCACTCACTGAAACTCTCAGCCAACCTGTTCAACAGTCCTTGGATCATAGACAACCTTGTTGCTTCTACACCCGAAAGCATCTACAAATCCAAATCAAGAAACGAGCGCGTCTTGTACCGCGCGCTGGTGTCGCTCGTGCAAGGCCAAAGTCATCGGCAATTCGTACACAAACGTCTTCAATACAGTTGTGTTCTCTCTTTGTTTATTTCGTTTTCTTTGGTTTCTTCTTGCTCTAATCTTTCAAGGGAGGGCATTGACAAAGTTGCAAGGTAATCTAAGCATCATGGGTTCAACCTTGTTGCTCTCTCTCTCTCTCTCTCTGGTTAATGTCCCTGATATTTATTCTTGTCCAAGCTTAATTTAATGTGTAATGTATGATTTATTCTTGTTGCTTTTCTTAATTTTCCTACCAAATGCATCTTCAAATCAACTTAAGTCAAACTATCTTCAACCATGACTTAAATTTTTACTAAAATTTGAATTAACATTTGAGTAAAAAACTTGATTGGATACAAAATATTTTAATGAGCAAATTTAAATTTAAATAAGGATAAATTCAAATTTAAATGAGGGTAAGTCAAATTTAAAAGAGGGTAAATTATGACCATTGAATTTTTAAAGGATGATGAAATTTCATCATTAAAGATTTGGGTAAGAATTTGTGTCTTACTTAATTTGAGTAAAAAATGAGTCTTCTTGATTTGTTGAGTTTGGGTATAGGGTTGAAGTATTCAAATTTAAATTTCAGTATAAAAAAGGATAAGGTTGAATATGCTCTCACAATATTTAGCTGGATGAGGCAGCTTTGTGCAATAGTGAAATTGATTTATTGTGGCCTATGTATCATTAGTTCCATCTACAAAATATCTTTTCGATGTGGGTAATGTACAAGTGAATTCTTGCAATAGTTTGAGATAGTGACACTAAGGTGGGAGCTGTGTGATTGTCTTGCAACAGAGTACAAGGTTAGAAGGGGGCTAAAGACTTGTCTGATTTATTCCCTTCAATGCCTAAGTCAGTTGGTGCTCAAAGGAAAGGTACGGTTTTTTATTGGGCAAAATTTCTTGTGAATGCGTATTTGAGACTCAACTCATTATGTTATTTATACCTTCTAAAAGGATGATGTGACATTGTAGAGATCTCATGAAGTCGATTGAAAATTTTCATAAGGATAATTATTAGTGAGCTATCTTTCTTTCGAATCGTACAATTACTAAACCTAGGGGAGGTCGACGACTCCTCAAGGTATAAACCTATAATAATTATCATATCCGGGATGCCGAACACTTAATGCATGTCCCCTTAGCATATAATAGTTTTTGCAAGACATTTATTGAGCTGTGCGAAACACTTATTGCGTTGATCTCGAGTATCTTGTCCCAAGAAATCCATGTTAGTAAAGGGCCATGCCTTTATCCGAATTTAGGGTAACACTACTATACTGTCAACCTACTTTTCGGTATGATACCGAAAAATAAGGTGGGCTGTATACGTGACACGTAGTTGTTTAAAACCGGTGAAACCAGTTGTTCTAAAAAAACAGTACCTAGCTCAATAGAGTTGTATTTAGCCAAAAGAATTGTACCTCATTCAATAAAGTTGGAACCCTTATCCAAAAAAAGTTGAAACCCACCCAAAAAAAGTTAAAATTTCATACTAAAAAAGTTGGAACCCCTACCGAAAAAGTTATAATTTAATTAAAAAAAAGTTGAAACCTCAAGCAAAAATTGGAACCCAAAGAGTTGGAACCTTTACCCAATAGTTAGAACCAACCCTAAAAAATTATAACTCAATTAAAAAATTTAAACATGAGCCAAAAATATAAACTAATGCATAAAAGTTGAAACTCTATCCTAAAAAGTTAGAATCACCCCAAAAAAATATAATCCAATCATAAAAAATTAAACTTCATGCCAAAAGCTTATAACTTAATCCAAAATAGTTGAAATGTGACCAAAACAGTTGTAATCTAGCTAATCCAAGTCACCCCAAAAAATTGGAATCCAATTCAAAAAAAGTTATAACCCTGACCTAAATAGTTGGAAGCATTATTTACAATTCTTTTAATTATTTGATTTGATTTATTATTTATTTGTTGTTAATAAAAAATGGGACTATTTAAAAAATAATGAATATTTTTGGACTACAACATAATTTTTTTGATTATTTAGTGGATAAAAGTGTAATAGTTAAGGGATAAAAGTGTGATAGTTAAGGGATAAAAGTGTGATATTAACCCCCGATCGGTCTTGCATTTCTTTGCCCGGTCTTAATTCAAATTACACTTCGACCCCACAAATAACAATATATTATTTTTTTATTTTTTAGTAAATATTGTGGTCCACAAATCACAAAAACCTTATCTTCTCCCTCCACCTACATTCCTGCCCAACTCATTTTTCGCTTCTCTGGACTTCTCTCCATCTTTTTTCCCGCCAAAATCATTTTTCACTTTTCTTACCTTCTCTCAATTTTTTTTACTGTACATACCTTCTCCTTTTTACCTTATAAAAGCATTTGTTTGGTTTAGACTTTGGTGTTAATATGATGAATTGAATGTTTATTTGGTATAAATTTGTTGAATTGAATATTAAATGTGATTAGATGAAATTTAATATTAATTTGTTGAATTGAATATTAATTTGATATTGATTTGATGAATTCAATGTTTATTGAATGAAATTGTACGTTAACCTTTATTGGATGATTTTTTATGCCAATTTGATAAATTGAGTGTTAATTTAATAAATTTGAATATAAATTAGATGAATTAAATGTTAATTTTGTGTTAATTTGATTAATTGAATATTAATTAGATGTGATTGAATGTTAAATTGATGAATTATATGTTTATTAAAGAAAATTGAATGTTGATTTGAAGAATTGAATGTTAATTTGTTATTTATTTGAAAAATTAAATGTTTATTGGATGAAATTGCATGTTTCTTTGGTGTTAATTTGTTAAATTAAATCTTTATTAGAGGATTTTTGATGTTAATTTTATGAATTGAGTATTAATTGAATGAATTTGAATATAAATTGCATGAGATTGAATGATATGTTGATGAATTAAATATTTATTAGTTGAATTTTAATGTTAGTTTAATGAATTAAATGTTTATTAGGTAAAATTAAGTGTTGATTTGAAGAATTGAATGTAAATGTGATGTAAAATTGATGAATTGAATATTAATTGGATGAAATTGCATGTTCCTTTGATATTGATTTGATAAATTGAATATTTATTGAATGATTTTGAATGTTAATTATGATTCAATCTCATCAAATTAAGATTCAATTTATCAAATTAACACCAAATTAATATTCAATTCATCCAATTTATATTCAAATTCATTCAATTAACACTTATTTTATCAAATGAACATCCAATATCATTCAATAAATATTCAATTTATCAAATCAACATCAAAGTAATATCCAATTTCATCTAATTAATACTCAATTCATCAAATTTACACCAAATTAACATTCAATTATTCAAATCAACATTTAATTTTACCCAATAAACATTTAATTCATTAAACTAATATTAAAATTCAACTAATAAACATTTAATTCATCAATGTAACATTTAATCTCATCCAATTTATATACAAATTAACACAAAATATTACTTGAAGGTGAAATATAGGGAACAAAATAAAAATATTGTTATACTTTAGGGTGTAAGTGTAATTTACTTATGTATGAATTAAGACCGGTCCTTGGAATGGGAGACCGATCTTGGTATAATATTACACTTTAATCTTGTGATATTATACGTTTATCCTTTAATATTATACTTTTAACCTTTTGATATGACGCTTTTAACCTTTTGATATGACGCTTTTAACCTTTTGATATTATAATTCATTAAATTAACATCCAAAATCATTCAATAAATATTCAATTTATCAAATCAACATCAAAGTAACACTCAATTTCATCCAACTAATACTCAATTCATCAAAATTACACCAAATTAACATTTAATTCTTCAAATCAACATTTAATTTTACCTAATAAATATTTAATTCATTAAATTAACGATAAAATTCAACTAATAAACTTTTAATTCATCAACGTAACATTCAATCTCATCCAATTTATATTCAAATTCATTCAATCCGTAGAATTAACATTGAAAATCCTCCAAAAAAAAATTCAATTTAACAAATCAACACCAATGTAACACGCAATTTCATTCAATAAACATTATATAAATAACAAATTAACATTCAATTCTTCAAATCAACATTCAATTTCATCTGATAAACATTTAATTCTTCAACTTAACATTCAGTCACATCCAATTAATATTCAATTCATAAAATTAACACAAAATTCACATTCAATTTATTGAATTTATATTCAAATTCATTAAATTAACACTCAATTTATCAAATTAACACAGAAAATTATTCAATAAAGGTTCAATTTAACAAATTAATATCAAAGTAACATACAATTTCATTCAATAAACATTTAATTCATCAAATCAATACTAAATTAATATTCAATTCAACAAATTAACATTCAATTTTATCTAATAACATTTAATATTTAATTCATTAAATTTATACGAAATAAACATTCAAATGATCATATTAACACCAAATTAAAATTCAATTCTTCTAATTAATATTTAATTCATTAAATTAACATTTAATTCATCAAATTAAAATAAAAAATCATCTAATAAAGATTTAATTCATCAAATCAACACCAAATTAATATTCAATTCAACAAATTAACATTCAATTTCATCTAATAACATTTAATATTCAATTTATCAAATTTATACCAAATAAACATTATATTCATCATATTAACACCAAATTAAAATTCAATTTATCCAATATTAAATTAAAATTCAATTCATCAAATTAAAATAACAAATGATCTAATAAAGATTTAATTCATCAAATTAACATTCAATTTAACAAATAAACATTTAATTCATTAAATTAACATTTAAATTAACTATTTAACATTTAATTCATCAAATTAACACCAAATTAATATTCAATTCTTCAAATTAGCACCAAACTAACATTCAATTCATAAAATTAACACAAAAATTAATATTCAATTCATTAAATTCTCATTCAATTCTATCTAATAAACATTTAATTCATCAAATTAGCCTAACATTCCATTTCATCCAATATATACTCAAATTTCATCCAATTTACACTAAATTCATCAAATTAACATCCAAAATTATCTAATCAAAATTCAATTTATCAAACCAACACCAATGTAATATAAAAATTCATTGAATAAATATTTAATTCATCAAATCAACACCAAATTAACATTCAATCCAACAAATTAACATTCCATTTCGTATAATAAACATTCAGTTCATTAAATTAACATCTAAATTAAC